CTCATAAACAAATCACCCAGATACTTGAACTCCTCTGCTTGAGGAAGCGATAATAATAATAAAAATAACTATTTAATTTAAAAAGCGCCTTTCATGACACCCAAGGACACTTTACAGCAAGAAACATATCAGATAACATTGTGTAAAAACAAACACAGTGCAAAGACCAACAGGCATAAATTGAAATACAAAATACATAAAACAAAGTTAAGAAGGATAATCTAGTCTAAAGAGATGTGTTTTCATAGTAGTCTTGAACAGAGAAAGCGAGGCGGTGCTTTGGTCTGGCGGTAGAGAGATTTACTTCAAATCCGAAGAGAGCATTCCCCCTTTTATCCAGTTGAGAACCATGGCCTCCAATTTAACTCAAAATTGACTCACTCTAACTACGTTACACTTGTCTGTGAACTCCCCCAGTGTATATGCTATGGTCTAACCCCCCACCCCTCAAGAAAAAGCAATACATCCTCTACAAAAAGTAGCACAGGCTCGGCTTTGGACCAAGCCTGTCCTCTCCACAGCAGTAACTTGAGATCCTGTCCACAAACACCTCAAACTAGATCGGAGACAACATGTAGCTAGTGGAGTCCAACTCTCACTGAGAACAAGCACAACTTTGTAATGAGGAAGCAGACACAGCTCTTGCTTTGGTTATAGTCAGTTAAAATTCCTGGCTCCCAATAGTCCAGTAGCACTCCTAAACACCAGCAATGCATTGATGGGGATGTAAAGGTCATGGATGTTTTTCCACTTACTAATGTCAAATGTTATATAAACTATGTGTGTGCGTTAGAGTTGTTTTGTCTTGGCTAATTGGAGCCTGCAGGAGCATGGACCCTGCACAGATTAACTTCAAGGCCCTAAGCTGTGAAACAGAGTTGTCTTGACCTCGCCTCTGTCTAATAACGGGTATTTAAGCTTTTGTTAACTCTTTCTCTATGAGCAGACCTTGGAGACGAAGCGACATTCAACATCTTGATGCTTGTATTTCAACACTGCTCCAACTTGCAAGATTAAACCTGGGCAAATAAGATCTTCTCCTTTCCTGTTTGGCTTATTTATTTAATGAGTTGATGATAAGATAATTAAATTATAATAATAAATAAATAAAGTGCTATGTGTTGTCATCATTGTATGTTCCCATACAAAGACAAAATTGGCTCTCTGCATTTAACCCGTCACACCTGGACTACACCCAGGTGGAGCAGTGGACAGCTATGTAAGTGCCCGAGGACCAATTCAGGTTTAGATGTCCTGCTCAGAGACACCACAAAATGTCCAACATGCACTAGCAATAAGAAATGGACAATAAAACTCCAATGACCCCTTTAGCAACTCTGCAAAGGAGAAAATGGAGTATAATTACTCTACATTCTCTGAAACATTTCTGGACACTCACTCTGTCAAAGTCCATGTTGACCACATCTTTCTCATTGACCTCCAGCAGTTTGTCTCCATCCCTTACACCACTGTACTTTGCAGGACTTGAAGGTTCCACATCTTGGATCTCAAAGCATTGGCTGCTCGGATCTAGATATAGCTGAAAGCCAAAGCTCTGACCATCCAGGCGCTTCAGGTGGCACATTCTGGGCACGATACTCAGATCAGGTTCTGCACACATGTTTTAATATTGCTCATTGTTCAAAGTGGTAAAAAGAGAAATTATGTGTTCATACAGTTGTGTGCAGAGAAACTCACCAGAATCATCAGTAATGACCAGGGCTGGATTATCAATTCCTTCTTTTGGGTTGAAGGTGAAACTATGGAGACATAAAAGTTAGCGTGTACCCACAGATTGGATGGCAATAACCGAAAACTGGAAATTGAAATTGAATTTGATTAAATATTGAACCTATCTAGTCATGGTTTGAATTATAGGGGTACTTAAGTGTAACTGCTCCTGAAAAAACAAAAAAAAAACAAAAAAAAAAACAAGTTGTAGGAGAATAGGGGAACTCCATGTAAATTCATGTTACCTGTGATCACACATTTTAAATGACATTTGTCGTGTTTAAAAATAGAAAATTCTAATATTATATGACCACAAACGCACTATAGGGGATCACACACACACAAAAACTTATTTAAAAAATGGGAATGATGTGGGGCTACAGGCAAATTAACAATAAAACAGAATCCAAAAAAGTT